ATTCCATTCGGCAAATATTGAAAAATGAGGTCGAGGTAAAGCCATTGAAATTCTTAAAAGTGTAAGAACTTACACCGCAACAGAAAGAAACTACACTTAAAAGAGCTAAAGAGTTGCTTCGCTTGGCCGAAAGTGGTGAACTGCCGAATTTGGTTTTCTCCGATGAGAAAACCTTGGTTGTCCAGCAGATTGTAAACAAACAAAATGATCGTGTTTACTTGCCAAAGGGGTTAGCTGAAAATGTGCACCTTCGGTTGGCCACCAAAACTCAAGCGCCGCCATAACAGCCGATGGCCGCTCTCCGCTCGTATTAATCGACCGTGGCATCAGAATAAATGCCGAATATTATCGCAAAAATATTCTGGAGGGTGTATTAAAGCCTTAGGCACGCCAACATTTTTGCCGCAGACCTTGGATATTCCAACAGGACTCAGAACCGTTGCATTCAGCACGTGCCACCCACGAATGGTTGCAAAATGAGGTTCCTCGCTTCATTTCCAGCGCACAATAGTCACCAAAATCTCCGGATACCAATCTGTTTGACTATTGTGTGTGGAGTTTTTCGGAAAGCAAGGTTGGCACTAAAAATACCATTGTGTCGATCATCTCAAGCAAGAGCTTCGCCGGGAATGGGCCCAAATACCGCAAAGCAACATTCGGGCAGCGTGTGACGGTTTCATTGGCCGTTTGAAGGCCATAATTCGTCGCGAATATAGAACTGGTGGTGTCTTGAACAATCCTTTTTAAAAACCAAATATATGAACCTGGTGGTCTTTCAATAATTATTTCAGAAATTCCTTTCAAAAATCCACGATTATAGAGCTGGTGGTTCATTGAAGAATCCTTTTAAAAATCCGCGATAATAGAGCTTGTGGTCCATTGAAGAATCCTTTTAAAATCCACGATTATAGAGCTGGTGGTCCTTTAAAAATCCTTTTAAACATTCCCATATATAGAACTGGTGGTCCTTTAAAAAATCCTTTCAAAGAATCCCTTGAAAAATTATCGAAGATAGAACTGGTCGTCCTTTAACAATTCCTTTCAAAAAATCATTTTAAAAATCCGCGAATATAGAACTGGTGGTCCTTAAAAAAAAAACATTTTTAAAATCCACGCTTATAGAGCTTGGTAGCCATTAAATAATTCTTTCAAAAAATCCTTTTAAAAATCCACGATCATAGAATCCTTTTAAAAACCCACGATCATAGAACTGGTGGTCCTTTAAAAAATCCTATTAAACATTCACGATTATAGAGCTTGGGGTTGTTTAAAAATTCGTAAAAAACACGAATAAGGAATTGATGGTCCTCAAAAATTTTTTTTAAAATTCTTTAAAAAATCCACGATTGTAGAGCGAGTAAAGTGGTCCTTTAAGAATCCTTTCAGAAAATTGTTTTAATAATCCCCGATTACACTTTTACGGAATCCTCAACAATTCACAATTGTAGCGTTGATAGTCTTTGAAAAATCATCAGCTGAGGGGCTGGTAGTTCTTTGAAGGATCCTTTAAGAAAATATAACGCTGATGGTAATCCAAAAATCATCGACTACAAAGCTTGTGCTCGTTTAAAGAATCCATTAAAGTATTAAAGTTTTTAAAGATGGTGGTTCTTAAAAATCACGAAAAATCCTTGAATTCTTTAAAAAAAACCTTTACAGAATTCTTTAAAAATGCCACCATCAATGCGCTAGTGGTCCATCAAAAATCAATGATTATATAGCTTTTTTATGCCTTAAAGTTGCACTTTTGTAGAAATTGGGTTTAATTTTTAACCCTGCTTGATTCTCCAAATTGTCCGTTAAAAATCGGTTTAGGGACATTGCCTTACTAGCCGGTCCCTAAAACTCTCGAAGAAAGCATTGGATTCCTATAAAATGCAACATTATAGATCTGACAATCCTTAAAAAATCCAACATTATAGCTGGCGGTACAGCAATCCTGTCAAAATCCTTGTATACAGGGTGAGATAAAAAAACTGCAACAAAGTCTAACGCCATAATTTTCACATATTTTTAATTTTATTGAATGTTAAATTTTAGAATAAGTTTAGATTTGTTCGAATTGGTCACCTTTGGAACGAATTTTAGCCTTCAAACGGCCAATGAAATCATCACACGCTGCTCGAATGTTGCTCTGCGGCATTTTGGCCCATTCCCGGTATTTTTTAATGCCAACCTTGCTTTCGAAAATACTCACGACACAACAGCCCAACGGATTGGTATCCGGAGATTTTAGTGGCCATTGTGCTCTGGAAATGAAGCGAGGAACCTCATTTTGCAACCATTCTTGGGTGACGCGTGCTTAATGCGATGGTGCTGAGTCCTGTTGGAATGTCCAAGATCTGCGGCCAAAATTTTTGCGTGCCTAAGGATTAATACACCCTCCAGAATATTTTCGCGATAATATTCGACATTTATTCTGATGCCACAATCGATTAATATAAGCGAAAAGTGACCATCGGCTCTTATGGCGGCCCACACCATCACCATGGCCGGCGCTTGAGTTCTGGTGGCCAACCGAAGGTGCACATTTTCAGCTGACCTCTTTAGCAAGTAAACACGATCATTTTGTTTGTTTACAAACTGCTGCACAACGAATGTTTTCTCATCGGAGAAAACCAAACTCGGCAGTTCACCACTTTCGGCCAAGCGAAGAAACTCTTTAGCTCTTTTGTGTCTATTTTCTTTCTGTAGAGGTGTAAGTTCTTGCACTTCTTGGAATTTCAATGGGCTCATATTTCAATATTTGCCGAATGGAATATTGCGTTATTTTCAGCTCATGAACCATTTTTCGGTCACTGCGATGCGGGTTTCAATCAAATCACATCTTTACTTTTCGAACCATTTCTGCTGATGTTGCTGTTTTCTTCCGTCCACTTCCTTGACGTCGGGCTACGCTACTAAGTTTTATTCACATTTAAATGCTGAAGTGCTCTAACAATAGCCACTTGTGGTTTTTCCAGCCAAATATAAAGAAATCACCTTATGACGTTTGAATTCCATCACGAATAATTTTTTCTGGAAAATTCCGACCAAAATGCTTTTGAACGCTTGTAAACAATATAATGAGCTGTCACTGGAATAATTTTAACAGCTGTCGAAAGAGTGGCTTTGAAATGACAGCAGTCTGAAGTTGGTTGCAGTTTTTTCATCTCACCCTGTATATAATATGATGTGTGGTTCTTTAAAATTCTTTGATTACGGATTTGGCGGTCATCAAAGAATGAAAAATATACACGAGTAAAAGTATTTGGTCCTTAAAAACAACAGGGGTTTAGCTCCGGTGGTCTCTTAAAACATTAACTCATATTTTTGTGGTGGTCTTTAATAAAACCTACTTCTGTAGCTTTGGTAGTCCCTTAAAAACATCCATGATTTTTTGATGTCCTTTGATTAGATCTGTCCTTTAACAATCCAAAATAAACAGTTTTAGTAGTCTTATATTCAAAATACAACTCCATACTACAAAATCCGATTTTACAGAACCGATGATCTGTAAACAAGTAAAAAAGCTATAAGTTCGGCCGGGCCTAACTTTGAATACCCTCCACCATTTGGAACGAATTTGGCAATTCTCAAAAACAATAAAATCCCTTAAGACTTCTGTTAGAATCTGAAAAATTCCGAATGTAGCTATTATATTAGGGTCTATCTATCTGTTTATAATATAGCTAAAATCATCAAAATACGGAATATATGGAGGTACCATGGTGGTTATAAAACGTGGATCTGCCCAGAAAATTTTCTGTCATGGGCTGTAATATCCATTACGAACTTCAAATGCGAAATTTGAAACAATTCCGGTAAATAATGTCGTTAAAATCATGAAAATACGTAATATCGGGGGGTACCGTTACATGGAGGCTATACGAAGACGTGGACCTACATGGCCCATTTTCTGTTTTATGCTGTAGTATCTATTACAAACTTCAAACACTAAATTTGAAACAATTCCGGTAAAAAATGTAGCTAGAATCATCAAAATACCGCATATCGGGAGGTACCGTTATATGGGGGCTATACGAAGACGTGGGCCTTTCAATATCAAAAGTCCTGCAGACATAGTACACATTTGAGTAAAAGTTTATCAACCTACTTCATTTCGTTCGGAAACTAGAGTGATTTCCACAGACGGACGGATGGACATTGATAAATCGACATCGAATTTTATGCTTATCAAGAATATATACACTTTGTGGGGTCTAAAATGTATATTTCGAGGTGTTACAAACGGAATGACAAACTTAATATACCCTCCATACTATGGTGGAGGGTATAAAAAGGTAAATATTACGGTTCTGGTGATCTTTTGAAACGCCACGACTATAGCTTTGATAATTGAAATCAAAGCCAATAGCTACTTACTGCCGAAATGTCAAATTACCGGCCATTTTGTTGGAAAATTCCGCAAATTCGGAGGTATATTGACAATATTAAAGTTAATTTCCAGTCTTTATAAAAAAAATATTTTTTTCAATGTAGCAAGATAAAATGTTCAACTAAACACAAATGTTGTTTTTTTTTTTCTCTAAAATATTAAATATTTATTTTAAGTTCTCTATAGCGTTAAGCCCGCATGTAGACACGCGAAACATTAGTTCACTTACATGTGTACATGTACACACACATATGTGTAAATGTATTTATTTCAGTAGTGACATGGTAATCCTGCTTAAATAAATCCTTTAAAAACAATGTGAGATTTTTATTGCTGGCACAGTTCACATAATGGTTTTAAGCTAAAAGGATTTCTGTAATCCCGAAACATAAGAAGGACAATACACAAACAACAATAAAATGTGTAAAATATAATGGAAGAAATTCGGAAATGTTCCAAAAAAAAATACATTTTATTTGATCCCTTCAAGGCAAAGCTAAACAATTTAAAACACATTATGTCAAAATTTAAGAACATTTTAAACAACATTATTTTATTCCCCTTTTGAATGGCATTAATTGTACAAACTTCTATTTTTTCTACTTTTTTTCCAGACTCAATTCATCACATAGAGAGAAAAAGGCAAATGTTGTCTGTTTAAAATAATACTAACACGCATTCACTCAACACACAATAATACCATCAAATGGAAACCCAACAAAGCAATATTTTACTACAAATATCAAAAGTTCATTTGAGATATTTCAAGTGTGAAATAACTTCTTGAAACTCAACATCTCAACCACAGCCTCCTACAAACATTTTTAAAACAGAAGTTTTACAAAAATAAAATCAACACCAACAACACCAAGTTAAAATAACATTTCTACACCAATTTGTTCAAAACAAATTAAAAAGCAATAAACAACATTTAGAGAATACAACAACAATACCAACAAATATATCATCGGCCCCAAAGGAAAAAAAAACCTCAAGATGTCGTTGACCATAAAAGTTATACAGTTTCAAGTGCCCAAAGCCAAATCGAATCTCATAGCACGAGTGGAATTTCGAGGTGAGTAAAAGTTTGTTTTTATTATTATTTATTTAATTATATTTATAATTTAAGTACAACAAGCTCATCGGGGTTTAATCATTACATAAGGTGACTGTATTTGACGAAATCTAACAGTTTTCGATTTGCTACGCAATAGGTTTCCCCGAGTTCGGCAGGACTCTCCCGACTCGTATTAAAGGGGATGTGAAAAGCAGGATGTTGGTAGTTATAATTGTAAATTTTTAAAAACTTTTTTTCGAGGATTAACAGAGTTAAATTTGTGATTTTTTTATACCCTACAACACTATGTGTTGGGGGTATTATAAGTTTGATTGGACAAAAAATTATGTAACACCTCGAAATATTGGTTTCCCCCACAGGAAAGTATATATGGATCTTCCTATATCGCCGAGCTGAGTCGATCTAGCTATGTATTATTTCTAGCTATTTTTTGCAGCCGTTATAAAGATCATAAATAGAAACCAATAGACACGAAATCTAGCGTGAAGTTAGAGTTTAGGACAGCGGGTAGAATGGACCACTACTTTTGAAAAAATACAAACATTACTTACACAGAAGGCGAACTTCTGCTTTTTTTTGCTGATTTCGTTGACGAATATAGCCAAATATCGTAGACAAGAAGATCATATAGATGAGTCTAAATTTAGAGATACAGAGGGGCCTCTTGATTTTGGATATTATCGCAAAACACGACGGAGTGCGTAAATATTGAGCAAATGTCCCTAAAAATTCTAAGGGTAATATGTGGGCAGTGCTCCGTGACATAATTTCAAAAGCGAAAACTTCCAAAATGGATTTGGACATAAAGGGGCTTCGAACATATTGCAGTGTTGTAGGGCATCATATGGTCGGCCCCACACGACTGTAGCCTTTGCTTACTTGTTTTTTTATATTTTTTCAAGGGCTATTTTTCAAGGGCTATTTTTCCATGATTATTCAAGGAATGTTCCAACAGTCGTGGAAGGAAGGATTGTCATGGATTTGATTTTTAATAAAATATTCATGGACAGTCGGAGCTCCAGTCATGGATTTTGTAATAATAATTTTGATTAACTAATCTGAAAGCATTATTAGGGCTGTAGTCGCGGATATTATTTTTATTTTTGAAGGATTTTTAGTGCTGCAACAGTGGATTATTATTAATATTTTTCAAAAGATCTCGTAGCTCCGGTACTGAATTTCTTAATTATATTTTCAAGGGCTTGTTTTTAAAAGTTTAATAGGGCTGAAATCACAGATTTTCAATACCATTTTTCAAGAGTTAATTTTGAAGAATTATTAGTACTTTTATCGTGTATTTCTAATAATATTCGTGAAGAAATATTGGACCTCCAATCGTAACTTTTGACTAATATTTTCCAAGGACCATGATAAAAGGATTATTACCGCTGTAATCGTGGATTTTTAAATAATATTTTTCGGGGACTATTTTTGAAGGATTTCCAGGGCGGCAAACGTGTACTAATTAAAATATTGACACTCTGGGTCGATTTATTCATGTCGGTCCGTCTGTCCGCCGTTCCATGTATTTTTGTAAACAAAGTACAGTTCGCATTTATTACCCGATCCAGATGAAGTTTTGCACAAATAATTTGTTTGGCCCAAGAACGAACCCTATTGAAATTGGAAATAATCGGTACAAATTTAGATATAGCTCCCATATATATCTTCGTCCGATTTGCTTTTTATTGTACACCCAACGTGTAATATCAGCCCGAATAGTATGGAATTTTGCACACACAACCAAATTAGGCCTGAAAATAAGTATGCCAAATTTGATCGGTTCAGATATAGCTATAGCTCCCATATATATTGTTCATCCGATTTGTTGTTTTTGTGCTCCGCAGCCGTAGTATGCACTCTGTAACAACAATATTTGGGGAAATATATCAAATACAGCTCAGAAATACATTTGCTAAATTTTATCGAGATCGGTTCGGATTTGGATATATCTCCCATATATAACTTCTTCCGATGTACCTTTTATTGTGCAACAAACGTCTAATATTTGCCCAAATGGGATGAAATTTGGCACTTACGACCGAATTGAGTCTAGAAGCTAGTATGTGAATTTTGGTTCAGGTGAAGATTGGTTCAGGTATAGCTATAGCTCCCATATAAATTGTTCATTCGATCGGTCGGTCCCGCCCGACTTTAAGACTTTCTTTCTTTTTCTTTTTTTGTCAAGGACATTTGTTCAAGGATATGATTTTGTTGTTAAAAAATAATTATCGTTTATTTAAAAACCACGTTTATTTATTAAAGGAGAAAGATGGCACAGTTTAAAAGGGGTCAAGGCAGGGTATACTATGGTTTCGAAAATAGTAACCAATACTTATCAGTTCTTTCGGTTTTAGTCTGGGGATAGTTTTCCGAGGAGCTATTTAAAATTAACTCTTATGACAAAAATTAAAAGTGATTTTTAATCAATTTTTAAGGACAGTCGGAGCTCCAGTCGTAGATTTTGTGATAAAATTTTTGAAGGAATAATTCAGAAGTAGTATTAGGGCTTTAGTCGCGGATTTTTAATGTTTATTAGTGGACGGTGGATTTTTATTAATATTTTTCAAAAGCTGTATGGGCTCCAATCTTGAATTTTTAATTATATTTTTAAGAGGTTATAAGGGCTGTAATCACAAGGGTATACTAAGTTCGTCATTCCGTTTGTTACTTATAAAAAGAATAATTGTATTATTGGGTATAAAATTATTCTTTCGATAAGGATATAATTTTGTAAATTTTTTCTATATTCCTGATCAGCGTAAAATTGTGAGACGAGTTAGCCCTGTCCGCCTATTGTAATCACGCTAGAGTCAAAACGAATATAGATAGGAAGTTTTAAATTTGCACCGATATGTTTTTGGTCTGCAGGCAGCTCAAGTAGGCTATATCGGTAGTTTATTATTATATTCGGTAGTTTGATGATTTTAGCCGCATTTTTTAATGGAATAGTCTGAAAATCCACACAAAGAGTTCCCTCTGATTACTTTACCCCCTGGAAAAGAATTGTCTATATAGGTATACGTTTTAGTATAGCACCCATATAACGCTACCCCGAGATATTTAGTATTTCCAGGATTTTCGCGACATATTTTTAACGGAAATTTCGTATTTTAAGTTCGTAATGGGTACTACAACAATTGACAGAGAATTATCTATGAAGGTCCACGTTTTAATATAGCCCCCATACAACGGTACCTCCCCTTATTAGCAACATTATTTACCGGAATTGAAGTTCGAAATAGTTACTACAGCCTATTACAAAATATTACTTATCCAGCATCTCGTCTTCGTATAAAGGTTTTAATTTAAGCGGTATTTTTTTTATTTGTATCGCGGATTTTAGAGTTTAATTACCTTTAAAGGATTATCGGGGATTTTTAGGATTTGGATTTTTAGAATTTTTTGAAGGACTTTCCAAGCTTTAATCGTGTGTTTTTAAGTATATTTTATAGACCATATTTAAAGGATGATCATAGTTCTCGAAGCTTTTACCTTTTTGGATTTTTAAGAATATTATTCATGGCTTTATTTAAAGATTTAAGAATATTGTTTAAACACAACTTTTTAAGGAGTCATAATTGTCGTTTTGCTTTGAATACTTTTAAGGAGTATTATTCAAGAGTAAGAATATTTTTCAAGGAAAATTTCTAAGGTATTATCTGTTTTGACCGTTTTTACGAATATTTCAAGGGTCATTTTAAAGGTTTATCATAGCCGTAATCTTTGATTTTGGCGAATAGTTGTATGGATCATTTAAGGAATATTTAGTGAACCAGTTTCAATGAATAAATTATACAAAAATGCATTTTTGCAAAAAAAAAAAAAAAAAAAACAGTAAGGAAAGGTCAAAAGTCGGGCAGGTCTGACTTTACCCTACATCACTATCCGTATTTAGTAGAGCACATAACAAAAAAGTTTATATTGGGAATTTTTGTGAAGTAGATCATACCAAATCATACCATATTAGATCAATAGATATACCGGACGTTTTTCAGCAAATGGAAAAATTCGTTTGAATATGTAAAACCTTATCTAAATTAGGCTGATATTACATATATGGTGAACAATAACTGTACAATCGGATGAAGATGTATATGGAAGGTATATACAAATCTGAACCGATCTCGATAAAATTTGGTATAGGTGTGGCGGCCGGAAAGTACTCAATAATAATTTACTTTAAAAATATTATTTTTATGTGATCAAGTCATCTTTGATTTTGTATTTTTCTTTTTTCGTCAAGTTAGCCTTGACTTTCAGTTTTTGTATTTGGCCACAACAATTTAATTTTTTTAGTTTAATGTTTAATTTCCAAAAGACAAAATAGAACTCTCTAGAAAATGTAAAAATTATTTTGTTGTCACCAAATACAAAAACTGAAAGTCAAGGCTAACTTGACGAAAAAAGAAAAATACAAAATCAAAGATGACTTGATCACATAAAAATAATATTTTTAAAGTAAATTATTATTGAGTACTTTCCGGCCGCCACAGTGCTGGATCTGACTTCCAGTATCGAATATCATTTTTGGGAAGTACATATTACGTATGAATTGACATCAAATCGGATGAAATTTGTGGGAGTATAGACATATCTGAACCGATTTTCACCCAAGAGTTGAAATTCTAGTTTCTAGGCTGAATTCCGTCGGAAGTGCCAAAATTCAGTTCATTTTAGCTTATATTATCGACTTAGTGCACAATGAACTGAAAATCGGATAAAGATATATGTGGGAGCTATATCCAAATCTGAACCGATCTGGACAGTATTTCAAACACTTATTTCAGAACTGTGTCTGATATCTTATACCAAAGACAATTGGTGCAGAGTGCATATTATGCTTATGAGGGATAAATCAGATAAAACATATATATGGGAGCTATAGCTATATGTAAACCGATTTTCAGTCGGAATTCAGGTCATTTGGGTTGATGTTAGCCATTTGGAGTTCAATAAACCTTATATCGGATGAGGATATATATGGGAGTTATATC